CAGGACGTATGCTGAAATAATAATGATAATAAGTTTATTATTATTACAAATACATGACAGAAGGCTCATTGTAAGTACGTATATCATATACATATAATGAAATGACATACAATGATATGAAGAACCAATTCCTATAGTACACTTTAGTCTTTATACTACAGTACATAAGATATATATCAAGCCAGTTTTGTTGGGTTCTTTTGATTGCCGAGCCAGTCAATTATACCCACTTCTATAATAAGTGTTCTTTGAACATTAATATGAAAATCATTGCAATGATGATGAAAATCTGCAGTTGTGTAAAATATTGGAACTACACACTCTATAAAACCATACATACATACTTAAAAAGCTATACATGACTTACATATATTATGCAACTTAACATACATAATGAATATTTACTGGCCAAATTGGAGATATAATGTGTTTCGAAATGGTAGCGATGTGCATGTATGTGCTGTATCCTTCTGTGGATGGCTGGGTTCAGCTCTGTTAGGTTCCTCCCCAGTTTCTCACGGACCAAGTTCTGCTTCCTTTCCTAGTAGAGGATACAAAAAAGGAGAGTAAGCAAAGTGAGCAGAAACTGATAATATATGTCTAAGTCATTGGACCACAAAAGGAAAGCATAATACATATGTATACAAATGTATAAATATATCAGTCGGGGTCCAAGAGGGTATATAATATATGTCAAAGGGGGTATATGATATATATCAAAATTTTACAGCAGACCAATTTGTTAATACAGAGAACACTGTTGTCTGTATGCAATGAAAGAATAACAACGCAAGCATAAGACTCAAGTTACAAATTAAGTGAAACCAGACGTTCACATATTTCTTCATATACATTGAAGCCCCAACACTATTTCTTCCGTCAAATTCCTATAGGAAATTATCCTTATTATGAGAGCTAACTTCACGGGATATGCATCATCGGGATGCGGAATTTTTCGGGATAGGCGTCCCGATAAATCCCGCGAGATATCCGCGTGTCTTGCGTACCGCGGAGCGAAAAAAAAACTTGATGCGAGATCTCAAAGTCTACCGCGGGTCCTATCACCGATGGCGGCGTGCCAAATGTTTTACGTCCTGTCGGGCGATCTGGGCAGGGCCAATGGAGCACCCTGACGTCAGTCAACATTGCCATAATTGTGTATATTGTGTATAACGCGTTCCTCACCCGGTCATAGTTGAACTGCTAAATTTTTAAAAAGCTCTTGTGCAGCGAAAACTCACAAAACTGTCAGAAAATAGCAGGAATGAATTTGTAATAACCTCTTCGTCTCCAGTGAATTTTTCGGCAAGTTTTATATATGAACAATCTGTCAAGTTTATAAACCATCTAATAAAACGGGGCGTACCGGCTGGAGTTGTGTTTCATTGTGACATATTGTACTAAATTGGCTTGTTGAAGTCTTCTCGTGTTCTCGTGAGCGTCAAGTAGTCTCTGTATTACGAAAATTAGGAAAGTTTGCCCATCAAAATCGGGGCATGCGTCTCAGTCCCCTCCCCAAACACGTATGAATAAACCCTTGCATCAACAATCAACAACGATCCGGCCACGTCCATTCACGTACGTATTACCCTGAAAGCAAGTTCTTCAATGCGGCTGGCAAAAATTCTTCCGGTGGAAAAAGCATTCTAGTTCTCGATGTCACTTGTGAAAAACGTTTTGGAATGAAATCGGGATGAGAAAAATAGAATGCCGCGTGCAGGGCTGAGGCGGAAAATCGCTACAATACGTCAGGCGGCAGAAGTCTCTGGGGCGGAGCATCGAGCCTTTGAGTTTGAAATCTTACCTCCCAGCCGGTGGGCGGGTCCCCGTCTGTGTGCTGTGATTGGCGCCGCGCGGTCTGCTAGCTATGCTGCGTGTGGTTTCTATGGCAACATGTGCCAGTCCCAGCAACACGAAATGTATCAATTCTTGATCGTCGTAAACAAGCCAAGGGCGTAAAGAACCTTGGAATTATGCTTCGCCCCCTCTTTTGTATAATGTTTAATCTCTCTTCCGCAACTCCGTGCGTCGACCTCCCCTATCTAGGAGAAGAACTTCTCGAGTGGCTGTGTTAGATTTTATATCTGAGATAGCGCGGGTCGGGTGACATCAAAAGCAGTACTTAGCGGGCCGTCCACATCGCAAGGTCAGACAGAAATTCTCGTACCAAGAAGGTTGTATTATTTTGTTATCGTTCTAAACATTATTAAGCCACCAAAATTTTCGATATTAAAAAAAACAACATTTGATTGGAAACACTATTTGTTTGTGCTACTGTTATCATCATGCATAATTTGGAAACAAACATGCGCTGCACCGTCTGTCTGTAAAAATCTTAGTCAACATGGTTCCCGAAAAATCCCGCAGGATATCGCGATGAATCCCGATTTGATGCTTATCCCATGAACTGTACTGTGTTATCCCGAAAAAAGATTGAAACTGTCTGACGAAACGACAAAATGTAATGTTATACTAGTATCCATGTTATATCATGGGTAATAAACGTAAACAAACGCCCCCCCCTCCCCCGCACCTACATTACAAAGGCGACAATACGGATGAACACAATTCTGTTTACTTTATTTTCAAAACGGCAACAAGCCTAAATCGCTATACATACGAGATTCTATCAAGTCAGGAGCTAGTAAATTACTATAGCTTTTTTTTTAGATTTGAGCCGGCGGTGACATGCAAAAAGTTAAACAAAGTCACCGGCGTTCTGTGGAAATCGGCGTTCTGTGGAAATCTGTGGATATTGAACCCAAAATCCCAATGCAATATTCTCTACTCGAGACTGGTATTCATATGGCCGTATTTTACGAAGAAAAATGAAAACTTACCACTGACATTGGTCCACCGATCTCTTCTCGTGTCTACGAGGGCGGATGCCCATATTTGGAAAGCTCGGGTGTTCCGTAGGCTGGGGTCGTTGACCCGCGGTTATCGAACACGCTGTTCCATTGTTCCATGGTTGTTCGAATGTTCCAAACGCGTTCTTTTTGTTCGATATTTGGCTTAAAATGCAACTTTTTTCACCCATTTTTTTCAAATAAAATCATTTTTTGACATCTATGTTAGCTAAAATGACCGCGGTTTAGTGTCTTATGTACCAACCTATCAGCATGCTGAATTTCATTATCCTCCAGGCTCTAATTACGAAAATATCGATGTTTATTGGGTGTTTGGAGAAGAAGAAGAGGAAACAGAGCAAATATAATATGTTTCCTTCGGTAAACATAATAATGGTAAACAAATAAGTGAACTCAAAACAGATCGTAAATGCAAATAAACAAATCTGTACATAATGAACCAAGATCTCACAAAATAAATACAAGTAAATAAGGTAAATCAAACATAATAAGAGAAAACAAACGTGCAGAAGTAACAAAAAGTTGTGTGTGTGTGTGTGTGTGTGTGTGTGTGTGTGTGTGTGTGTGTGTATGATATGGCGAAAAATAAACTAATTTCTTTATATTATCTTCTTTACCATTGAAATTGATCTTGGCATTCTACAACATTAGTCTCGACATTCTACGCCGTTTTTTTTTCAATTTACGACATAGATTTGCTCATTTTGCAGCTGCTTTGTACGATTTACAGCATGGTCGAAAACTTTTTGTCAACAGACGAAAATTCATACACGTGCGGATGTCATCCATATATTCAAACCGGCATGGCCTTAAGTGTTGAGTTGGACATGTATGCTGGAGTCACAATTCTAAGCCGGGACCCGGCCGGGCTGTTTTAATGAACGAAAAAGAAATGCAAATTTGCACAAACCATGCTTATCATAGCATTATCTTTTTAACGTTTTGTGTGTTTCGTTGTCTTGTTTATGATGATCATATTTTTCGATGTCGCAAACTACCCGGCCGGGCCCCGGCTTAGAAGTGGACCCAAGCACTACCGTTATTATTTATGACTGTTGAAGTATTTGTTTACTGTTTTGTTACTTCAATTTTCCATTGATTGGACAAGTACATCAATTATTACTCTCAGTTCAGACATATTATTTCTATTATTTGACCTCTGACCTCGAATGCACTTTTATTTCTCAATGCTGTTTTTTTTTTCAAGTTTGTCCTAATTTCAACATAATTTTGTATGTTTTATCTATTATCATTATTGCTAAAAGTTATTATCATTATTGTTCTTATTTTATTTTATGTTGCTGGACTCCAGGAAGAATAGTATGGAATTTACCATACTAATGGAGATCTCAATAAACAAGAATTCGGAGATCTCAAACCTCCATGAAATATGTGAGTTTTTGTAAATGTTTTTACACAGTACACTACACTACAGTACAGAACAAAGTAACACAGGTTTTTGTCCTGAAATAGGACAGGCTGTCAACTCAGTTACATGTAGGCTATTCCAGAGGGAAAACCTCATCAATCTAACCGGGTAGGCGCGCTGCCTGACCTCACGTGTTTTGCGTTAGAGGAAGTCTTTGACAGCTGGTGTTTTGTTGCATAAAAATTATATATA